TTCAGCTCTCTACGAAAACGGGATAAGTAGGTAAATTAAAATTGATTATATGAGACCGTCTCGGACTGAAACTAAGGTTAGTTAATTCTATTTTTCCTTTATAGTAATTAAACATGATAATCAGATAAAATATGAATACTTTTATAAAAACTTTGCAGATAAATTATGACAGACATTTTTAACAGATTAAAATTAAGATTTACATCTGATAAGCGTGGAATTTACCCTAACCTTTATTGAGGGATAAATAAAAAATGGTAAAAATATCTTTAATAAATTGTAACTATCTTTTTTCAGGTTTTTGCCAACTAAATATTAATAAGTTTTTTTTTTAACCGCGTAACTATTATTCGCAATTCAATCGATATTTCTTAGTTGGATACGCAATTACGCACATCGATTGTTTTATGCGTCTCCGTATGACAATCGGATTCAATGGACGGCTTAACGAGCTCTCTGTAGCAAAGAGGATTCTCGACAATAACATACAAGGGATGTCCCCATCTACAGCCCGATCGCCCAAGTTCTCTTAAACCCAAAGACCGACGAGACATGAGTAAGCCTACCTGTTTATGCAGCTCTTCATCTATATCTGTGAGAACGATTTGAGCATACAAACTAAGGATTTATAAATTATTTCTGGGAGAATATCCTAAGTCGAAAAACAACGTTTCATCACAAATATTTTCTCGATAAGCCAAATGAAACGCAAAGGAAAAACTCGTTGTCACAACACTAAGGGGGACGCCGATCGTTTTGGGGTAAAGGGGGGATGATTTAATAAATATTCAAATAAAGGAAGAGGTCCATTGGGCCCCAACGACGGACGCGAGACGAAGGCCTGAACTCAGTATTATGTGTCGATTTGCGGTGAACAGCAAACAGGCGAAAATAGAACGTAATTGAATAGTAATAAGGATGATTTTCAAATGGCTGGCGATAGGTTTTGTTACTAAAAATCGACCGTTCATTATTTTTTTACGTAACTTTGGATTCGAGGTAAACAAAATAAAAAATATAATCTGTATTGATTGGTGTCTTTTACTCGGTTGGTAACTATGCAAATTTCTATTAATATTAGTCGCTTGGTAGGAAATTGTATTACTTAACAAAATTTTGCAAGACAAGTTTTAAATTAGCCTGCTATAAAAACATGACATTTCACATTTTATAATTTTTCGTGATTATCACCGCACCTACCTACTATGAAACTTACTTCTAACAAATAAAAATTATCATTTGTACCTTTTTACTTCGAGGAATTATAGTTTTTAATTAAATGATTATTCTTTACAAATTATTCCCTATTTTTCATGTTTATACAACACACCATAACGGCGTATAAATTACGTCTCCACGAGTATGCATCCTGTATAAGGCCCAGACAATAACCGTTGGCCGCTGACTAAACAATATCCGCCCTATAGATAAAAGACCCTTGAAAAAAACTTCATATTTGATACCTTGACGCGGTGCCCGTCGATGTAATAACTGGCTCTTGATGATAACATGATAAGCTTTGCTTAACTGATTTTAAAATGCAAAAACAACAGATTTTTGTCTATATCAACACTGTCGTGAGACATACTAAAATTATTATGTTTTCGGCTTAGATTTTTAAATTCTAATCCTTGTTGTAAAATAATGTCTTAGTTCTCTCCAACAGATGGTTACCGAGCACGGCATGAAATATTTACTTCGTTCCTCAGTTAGAAACGAAAAATATATATTTCTGATATAAAAAAAAAACTAATCAGCAAGAAGTAATGTGAAGGAAAAGAGCTGACTACGTCTTGTCTAATTAGTATGATATAAAGAGGATTAATAGATAGAGGTATAATTTATTTTGTATTTGTTGACGTTTCAAAAGTACCAAGAAATACTTTGACTTTTACCAATAAACTTTAAATTTATAAATAACCTGTTTCGCCATATTCCGACTAAAATTCTTTATTATCTTCACTATTTATTTTTTATGCCACCCGTAACTGGGCAAAAAATCAAAACGTAATATGCAAAAAGTGAATGAACTAGGACCACCTTTCAAACTTTGCAATTTACATGTTGAGTATAAATCTAATTATAAATATAATACTAATTTAGTATTTTTATTGTAAGTTACGATGTTTTAGTGCAATATGATAAATTATTATATTGAAAAATATATTTTTGTATAGTATGTTTGATTCATGGTCGTCGCGCCAATTTCTATCTGTAGCTTTTACAATGGGATAATGTTTAATACTATATCATGATTTTTTCTTAGTTACTTAGTAAAAGCGATTTATGAAAGAACTTACATTTTTAACCTCTCTTTTGGACTTAATGAGCCATACCCATTGACGTCATCTTACACCTTAAGAATCATTTCGTTGAGAACCTTCTCAACGATGAGTTTCAGCATTTTTCAGATAAGGCTTGAAACGGAAATATTTAGGAAATTTAAACGTTTTAGTTAATTATGGGAGTCGTAAAGTCTATTCAAACGATTTTGTGAGAAGCAGCTTGATGGATGTATTTGTATTTTCTTTTCTAAGCCTTGGGACTGCCAAAAGAAAACTGTTGATTGAAGGCAAATCCTTGTTAACGGTCGCTTGTACCCTTACAGCATTTAACATATTTAAAAAACTAGTTTCAGCGACTGTTTTTCTTTGACAAAATACAAACTGCTAGTTATTTTTCATAATGTAAAGAATAAATCAATTTATAACAAAAATATTGGTGAAGAAATGAAATCTGAAAACCTTATATCTGAAAATTCAGAATGATCTTGATTTCCCTGAGGTGATGAAACGGAATTGGTAGCTACTTTTACATTGATGTCGTAATATTTCAACACAGGTTATATTCACAAACAAATATTAAAGTTTTCGTTGAAATCTTTTCAAATAATCTACGTTTTTGTAACATTAAGTATATTTTTTGTATGTGGAAAACACATGATTTTTTACATGTACATCATTTTACAACATGAATCAAGTTTAAAATAATATTAACTTAAAATTATATAATCGTTATTAGTAAGGAGAATATAAAAAACTTTTTATGTAGTTTTACTCCAATAGACATATCGGAACCATTTTCAGGATAGTCATTTATGCCTTAATAAATTAATCAATTTTGTAAATACTTAAATCCAGTTTAAGTTATCTGAAAACTAATAAAATACAAATTGCTTTAATTTAGATTTCACAATAAAAGTAATGTGCACACATTACTGAAAAATAACCTTATGCTTTCTTTGGTTTATTAAAAATGGACGGAACAAAGTTATTACTTTTATCCTGAACTTCTTTTGGTCGTTTTTGATAATATGAAGTTAATTTTTTTAGTAACTTGGAATAATTTTGCAGTACGGTACAACCAGACTGTCAAACATCTTGATTACTCATGTTTTTCTGTACGAATAGTAGTATATTTCCCATTGCAATCATACGTTAAACATACCATTTGACTAGAATGCCTCACAAACATCTTTTTTCGTGCAAAAAGCTGTTGTGTAAGCAGATCGTTAACCATCATCCCTCAAATTATTTATTTTTACCTCTTTTGTTGTAAAATCACCATATTTTCCTGCTCGCAACACTTAGTTACGGCAGCAAAGAGTAATGGGGCAGCACAAATATGGGGGAAATTCCATTCATGACACCTTTATGAATGTAAGTTGCAATAGAAATAAATAAGTCAAGTACAAATACCTCCTTACATTACCTCAACAATAAGTTCATATCTCTTTACCTTTATAACGATTAAATACCGCAATTACCTAAAGTGTCTATTAAAAAAATAACAGCTTTTACCTTGGTACATTTGATACTTTGTAATTGAGGTTTTTGTATTTATAAAATGTAATTAAGTAGAGCAGTCGACTCGTCCGTAATTATAAAAGCATTGAGCGCGTGGATGAATACTTTTGTTACATAATCATATTGTTAATTCTCTTATACAAAATAAAAAATAAAAATAAAAAATAAAAATGCACATGTTTTGTGGCAAAAACCTCTTTACAAAAACCATTCTTGTAATGTAATGTTTTTACCAATTTTCCAGCCAATATTTTCATAATAAAAGAGGATTAAAACCATGCACGGCTCAAGCCTCCAACGACATAGAGCAAGTACCCGAGTGCTCTCCAATCCGCGAAATTGAATTTCAATCACAACTTTGATTGGCTGAACTAAGTTCGTGCGTATATGAAATAGTGTGTTATTGCCATGTGGAATATTTTATTTAGAAACTTATTTAATGTTAAAATTAAATATAAAATTGTATTACATTTACCTATAAATTAAGTATAGGTCATAAACACATTACCTATCGTATTTTAATTAATTTATTCGCATAAAACTCCGAGTTTATGCCATCGTTACCAAATTTTCGCAGTTAACCAAGAAATTCTCCCAGAAATCTCATCACCATAATTTAAGACGAGCATCGAGCTCAACTTTAGAGAAATCCGCAATTTTTGACTTAACCTACTTTCGGTTTGAGACGGCAAATTGCAACAACCGTACGCATGAAATTTATGTACGACGTCTGTACAAGTTACGTCGCAACGTAATCGTAAATACACGGCAGGAGTACGGCTATGGGGAATAAAGTTATGGGTCATTTTGTGAAAATGGCTAGTGGCTGATGTCAGCCTCGTGAGTAGCGGTTTAGGGATTATTTTTAGAAGGCATAAAAGTATAAAAGTGCCAGGAGTATATGACCATTAATCCGCATGGTTCGTGAGCTGGTGCTGGTGAGATTTTGTGAACGTATATATTATTTGTGGTGGTGAAAATTATTTTACTCGCGAGTTTTAGTACGAGGCGCCGAATTATTTAGCAGCCTGTTGTAAGAGACGGAGTATGAATATTTTAGGATAACATCTGCGCGGCCTGGAATCACCAGGCCACCTGCCAAATGTGGTGATAAGGAAAAAAATGGGAAAATGAATGTTTTTGGTGCTGGTGTATATTTTTTTCGTGAAAATGGGTATTTTTTTATTTACTTACAGTGTAGCGCAAGGGGGGCACATAGCCGAGAGCGCACGAGTGCTCGCCCGCCGCTCGGCCGCGCCGCCGCGCTACCGCATGGCGCTGGCCCGCCAGAACCGCGCGATGTGCAGCCCGCGCGCGAGAAAACCGCGCGTCCAACGCCCGCGCGACCACGACAACCAGTCCACGACTCCCCACCAACAGTCCGACTGCCGACAATTCACAACATCGTCACTATACTCAAACAGCAATGCTCATACCGCCGCCACCATCCGCCGCGTCGACTGTACATGACACTCGCACGTTAATAATGTATGAAAAGTTTTTCGTAACCCAACATTGTCGCATTGCAGAAAAACCGCTCCGAGACTAACATTAACTACGCTTTGTCTTCTTGTACGACTTTACATGCTAGCTTATTTATTCACGGAGAAAATTGCGTGCTCGCGTGGACGCGACGTGGTGTCTGCGGCCGTTAAAATTGATCGGGTTTGTGTATACTCACATTAGCATGCCAGCGTCGGCCTCCCGGTTATCAACTATCGTTAACGTAAACAATTGAACACACAATCATTTTGTCGAGTGGCGCGGCGCGATATCACATGCCGGTCGGACGCGGATCGAAGGAGCTCGGGCGGAGGCGCCCGGCTCGTCAGAGCATCAGCCCCGGGGGCTCGGAGCCGCAGGGCTGCCACCGCCACCACACCGTATGCGGCGTTTGCTGGCTAAATGAGCGGATTAGGTGCGCGGGGCGGAAGTGTCGGAGGCGACACGCGCGTCGTTGCCACTGCAGGCCGCCACTGAGGCGGGGCGGCCCGGGAAAGCCTCCCCGCGCCCTTCCCGCCCCCTAAGCAAACGACCCCCGCCGCCACCCTCCCGCTCCACCCCGCCCGCCATGTGCCCGGAGCGCGCTCAGCCTCTCGCCTCGCAAAGGGTTGTCGGCAAAGGGAAATTGCTACTATCGTCTTTTTGTCGTGACGACAATTGGCCGTGCTTTAGGCGGCGCTTTCTCTTTGACCGGGGGTCCAGAGCGGGTCGCTTATTATATTTCAGAAGCTATTTTATTCAGTTTTTGATCGAGGGAATAATATTTGAATTATTTTCAGTCATGTATCGGGGTCGGCGCGTTATGTAACGCCGTGCGGCTGCCATGGCCGTCCCACAGACGCAGCGCGCCTGTCGGAATACCCCTAACGCAGCCCTTAAATTTCTAGTGAAACGTTACGAGCGCGCGCGAAGTTTGCCGAGCTCGGCCGAGCGGCAGGCTACGAGCGCGGCCGAACGCGCGCGACCGGCGCCGCCCAGTCAATAAGGCCGTCTCCACTCGCCGAACAAAGACACTAACCTATAATAATTACATTTAATTAAGGATAACTGGACTATTTTGTATAATAAGCATATCGCGCTGCAGCGTTAGCATCCAGATTTCACACTTGATATAGGATAATTATTTTATACACGTAGTCGTTTAGGTTATCGCACACGTGTGTCCTAGCGCTAGTAGTAGTAAGAGGTTAGAAAGGAATGATTAAAATATTAATTATTTAAAAACGGCTATAAACATTTAAAAACAAAACATCGCTTTGTCCGAAAAATGTTCAGTATTTTTCTCGTGAAATATTATTTATTATTGTCGAGTGGTCGTCGGTCGGCCCACCTGTGCAGCCCCAAGTCCTTAACTGCAATATCATATGATGACTCGTCGCCATAGATACGCGTATGTTGTGAAACTCGATGCTTTATTTACATCGAATGCGTTTTATTAGTCGTTTCCTTTGCGTTTTAATTCGAATTGGCGTATTTATTCATTTAAGTGTGATGATATTTTAATGAATGTCGTTATTTCTTACTTTTTGTGTCGGATTTGTGTCTTATGAATGGTATCGTGGTGCACGCTATTAATATTATATTTTATTGGTCTTACGATACGAAATTCTAATATATTGTTAAAATCAAATATTACGGACATCGCATTGGTCGAGTGGTTTCTTAGGATCCTTAGGTGTGATTCGAGGGTCATGTAAAATGGTTTCATTTATTGTCAGTGCATACTGATATGTATCCCAATACTCTTGTCCTTTATTGGAATTTATAACATAACTAATGAAAAATAAACGCCTTTGAGTATTAAATGGCGTAATATTTCCAACATACTTTGTGGTCTCAATAAAATAAAAACACCGAACTTTAATTAAATCTCCATAACACCTCGAACCGAATCAGTATTGAGGAAAAGTCAAGGAGATAATAAAATTCGTTGGTACGTATATTTGAAAACCGAGTATTCGAGTGTTCCAAACAATTCGTCGATGATGAATCGGAACGGGTCGCAAAGTCAACGTGCTGTGCGACTGTCTATACAAAACGGATTGTAGGATACAGATTTTTGGTTCACGTTGAGATGGGATTTGATACAGAACAATCTGTATTCTTATAATGAAATGTATATATTTTCAACGCTTGTTATTTTTAAATTATTATGTTTTCGGCTTACTCACGTAATAATTTGACGAGGAACTCGACTAGTTTCAAGCCATGCTAGAGGCTCATATTCATGAGCAGCATTTGGCGACCCGCGACGCGGCGACTGTCGCGCTGCTACGTAAGTAAACCGAAAACATAATAATTTATTTAGTATGTCTCACGAAAGCTTGTCATTTTTATTTTAAAATATGAACAATGATTAATTCAGTTTTATCATTATCACGAACTATCAGATGAGATAAGCAAATATTGTTTACATATTTTTGTCATTTAGGAAAGTTTATGAAAATGAAGAAATAATTGGAAAATGAAAAATAATACAGCACAATCAACAAGAGATCATAACCAGTAATAGCGTCACTTCTAGGTAGTCTGTCTGTCACTTAATCATCTCCGAAATATGAGTTATTCATTCGTTCTTAGAAAATCGTGAGCAATAGGTCTCTTGACGTATTTATTGTCCTATGAGCTCATAAGTATTTTGAATTCAGCTAAGTAAAATCAGCTGCGTATTCAAAGCTTATTTTATATCGCAACTATGAAATTACACTTACTTACTATTCATAATTTTGATGTTTAAATATTTGTTAAAACACCTCATAATTTTGAATTTACTAACATATTCGAACAATTACTGAAATATTAGCTGGTTGAGTCATGCATGAAAACTTTCAATTATTCTTTTCTTTTTTGTTAACAATACGGTCTTTTATTCAAATCGAGAACTTGAATAACACAATTATGAATAAATATAATGAAGTATTCAACATAGACTAAAAATAAGTAATTTAAAGTTAGATTTTTCAATCAACAGTTAATAATATTTTTAACTGTATCATTAAAATTGGCAGATGACAACGGTTTTTTGTATAGAAGAATTATCAAATATTCAAACTTATTTCTGTGATATAATTTAGCTAACGTTAGGAAAATCGCCCTTAAATAATTTAAATAAGGTTACCTAAAGTAGTACTAGCACTTTAACACTAACGTCTTGGTTCTTGTTACTTTTAAAACGAAAACTTTTACATTCAATTAAAATAATAACAGTACTTAGTACTAGATAGATATTTTTCTAGAACTCCTTCTGAAGTTATAATAAGTTCAATTTAATTTCAACTGCACAATTTGTTCTCTGGAACTGTTAAAGGAGTTCAGTCGCGGTCGATTGAGCACAAGTTTTCAAAAATATCTACATTAAAATGAGTGCATAGGCACTTTCAATTCATTTTGATACATTTTATTCAATTCCATCATAAATTGAACATAGTTTCAATGTTATCACTGCTAACAGTTGTATTACGATGATTTTAATTCATGTTTTTTTATTGGTTCTGAGAAAAGTTTACTGTAATTTTTTTTATGGTATAAGTCGGTAAACGAGCAGACGGATCACATGATGGTAAGCAATCGACGTTGCCCATAGACACCTACAATACCAGCAGCGTTACAAGTGCGATACCGACCTTTGGGAATTGAAAGATTGTGGGGGATTCGGGGATTCGGGAGACAGGGGAGGGGGGGGGGG